TTCCCTACATTTCATGTGCTAGGACTTCTTTTGGTTTTTTAAAGCCTGACTCTTCAGGATCAGATCGTTACATGAGACCAGCTATTTTCATAGCAAAAGAACGCAGCTTTTCTACTTAGGTTTATTGTTTCTATGGCTGGGAAAAAAAAAGCCCCCAAAATTAAAAAAAAAAAAAAGTTACTGAAAGACACAGAATTTATTAGTTTAGGCTGTGCTGAGATGTCATTAACCTGCTCACAGCCAGGCAGCATCTTGAGCTGGGGAAGTGCCATGGGGCTGCAACCCAGAGGGGCTCAGGCTGCAGCATCATCCGCTCTCCTCTGCCTGTGCTTCTGCTCCTACGTCACCCCGGGTTCCTCCCTTTCCCAAACCCCTCCTGACACTGCACCCTGCGTCCAGCCGTGCAAGAAATGCTGGAAACGCCAAAATAGAGTCATTTCCCTGCAGTGACGGGGGAGGCTGCCTGCTCACAGCAGGATAAGCTGCATGTTTGGGTGGTGATAAGGGCCCTCTGGTAATCCCCACTGGCGCCCGGGGGATTTGAGCCCCTTCCCAGGATGAAGGGACGGCCCTGCTCCATCCAGCCTAGCTCCATGCAGCCAGAGATGGCTCTGCAGAACAGGTCTCCATCCCTGGGCGTGTGTCTTGGTCAAGGAGTAATGGAGATCGGGCAAGTCTGGGGCAGACGCCCCCAGGCAGGGGCTTTGGGCAGCCCGAGGGGGTAGGTACCCACCTGTGGGGACCCCCTGGACAAAGCCAGTGCTGCTGGCAATGTGGCCATGTGACAGCAGAAGCCAGGGCTATCTTGGGCACAGCAGCATCCCTCCCACAGGGACCCTCCATACCGCAGCCTCATCTATCCCTCCCATGCCACCGGGCCACTGCTCTGCCCTGGGAGGCACAGCCCGGCTTGTAGCCGTGCTTCCAAAATCAGCAAGGACATTGGGATTACATCTCCAGTGTTGAGCAGGAACACCAGATCAAGGGCCCCTGGGCAGTGGCGTGGAGGTAGAACAGGAGGAAAGGGAACCACCGGGGCCCAGAGGCTGCGCACAGGCAGGAGGTAATTTGTACCAAACTCTGGGGAGCAGACAAGCTGGCTCATTAGCCCTAAATCCTACGTTTCACGTCATAAGAAGGCGAAGTAGAGGCAGCCAGGGTTTCGGAGAGCAGATACCAGCTTGGAAATTCTCCACATTGTGTTTCAGCGCAGTTGGGTCTCGCTGAGACAGGGGAAACTGAGGCAGGGAGCGGCTGATGGATTTGGCTCAAGTCACAGGGAAACCAATTTGAGGCAGGATTTAGACCAGTGAGTCTCACATCATATATGCTGATGAGAGCCCTGGCTCCTGTCCCCAGGCTGGGAGAGTGTCTGGAACACGAGAGCAGAAAGTGATGAAACCCCCAGCATGGGGCAGGCACCTCTGCCCCCAGTGGAGGGGACGTTGTGCTGGTCCAGGTATCAAAGCATCAGGGCTCCCCAGGGACCTGTGGTTTCGGAAGCTGTTCCCATGCTCAAGCATGTGGCCCCAGAGTTGGCAGCTCTGAGAATTTAATCCTGAGCACCTCGAGCTGCCAGACCTGTCCTCGTGTCCCCAAGGGCTGCCTACCCCGGAGAGCTGAGCCGCTGCCAGCTGTGCCAGAGCTGGCTCCCAGCTGCACGGCACAGCACAAATCCCAGGCACAGCACAGAGGAAATCCTACACAAGGCACAGCGCAAATCCAAGGCACGTGCCCCAGCACTGGGCTGCAGCCACCAGCGCTTGGCAAGGCAGGAGGGTTTTCACATGGACGCAGCAGGAGCAGGAGTAAGAAGTGGGAGCTGGAGCTGTTGGTGCCGCTGCTGCTTTCTGAGAGCTCTTTGCCTTCACCTCCGCCAAGCCCCAGCTCTCAGACCTGCACACACAAGGGCACAATATTGCTGCTCACACATTGCTAAGTGTCCTTGGTGCAGAAAGCACCGGAGATCAACCTGTTGCTCTTTTGGTCAATGCTACATTTGAAATCTTTCCCATGCTCGTATGCTACAGCCGGGTATTTTAGTGTATGGAGACAGCTCTGGGAGCGGACGTCACCCCACAGCTGGTGCTGGGCCAGGCAGTTGGGGCTTAGCCTTTAGTTTAGTCCCTCCAAGTGGGACCAGCTGGGAGAGCAGGTGGCAGAGGACCAATGGGGCACAGCAGCCCCGTGCCCTGGGGTACGTCCCCGAGCAGCCATTGGTCTTGGGGACAGCCACAGCGTGTCCAGCTCAGCCTGTGACACCACCTTCATGCAGACGTGCACACCCATGACACGCTGCACACACAGCCGCCATGCGTGCTCATGCACACGCACACACATACATGTGCACACTCGCACACACACGTGTGCACACTCACGCCTCCCAGGCTGCGAGCCAGCAGGCACAAGCTCACAGTGCTGTGTGTCACCGTGGTTCTGCCCAAACACCTGACAACATCGATTCACCGTTTCCTCTTTCTGCTTTCTGTTGTATTTCCTGCGGTGGCGGAAAATGCTGCTTTTTCTGCCAGGGAGAGCTCCAGTCAGGGACAGGAGGACGCGGAGCAAAAAGGAGACCCTGGCACCTGCTCCTCCACGTTTGCATCCCCAGGCTTCCACGTGCCAGGCAGGCACATGGCTGTGGTCTGCTCTGCCCGCAGAGTCCTAAAACTCTCCCAAGATGTTTGTACCCAGGGATGGAGGAAGCGAGGAGGGTGATGCCACCGCAGCTGCTTGCCACATCTGCCATTGGCAGCGGGAACCACAGAACCACACAGTTCTGCCTTTGCAGGAGGAGCAACTCCTGCCCCAGCAAATTCTCGAGCTGCCCCAGGGGCCCTGTGAGCATTTTGGGGCCCTTTAACCCCAGAGCCACTTCCACCCACAAAGCCCAACCTTTGCCCAGGGCACCAGCACAGACTGCCAGCAGCATGTTTCTGGACTCGTGCCCTTTTCCTCCCCCTTCCTGCCTTTGAACCCAAGCCAAGACCAGCTGCCAAGCTTAGCGTCTGCACAAGAAGGTACCGACCACCCTGGGTCGGGGGCAGTGGGAAGAGGCAGCTGTTCCCCAGCTGCTGGCAGGGCTGTGGGTACCATGCCGTGCCCCGGGGAATTCACCCCTTCCCCCTCCCTGCCACCCTAAAATGTCTACAGGGAAGCGCCTGTAAGGAAATGATGCTCAGGATGAAGCCCAGCTGGTACTGGGCTGGGGAGGTGGTTATAAAAGGAGCAGGGAGGCAGCACCTGGGTTTGGGGCTGTGAAAGGGGTTGGAGGGGAGCCCTGGTGGGATGGGGGCTGTGTCTGGTCGTGAAGCTCCTGGCTGAGCACTGAGATTTCAGCACGTGTGGGTTTGGGGGCTCTGCAAGTTGTAAGCGCTCTCTGTTTCGCTGTTTCAGGGGGTAACATCTGCACCACCCGCGGGGTGAACTCCTGCAAGCAGTGCCTGGCCGTGAGCCCCCTCTGCGCCTGGTGCTCCGCCGAGGTAAGAGCTGGGGGGAGGCTGAGCAGGGCTAAAGCACCTCCCTGGGCAGGAGGACATGGAGGAAGGGATGGCCCTCTGGGCTGTGGGATGAGTACTGGTGCCTGTTACAGCCACAAATTCGCTCTCTATCTGTTCCCACCATGTCTAAATACATTCCTCGGCAGCATCTGGCTCTGACCACAGCTGGAGACGCACATCACAGGGCTTGGGCTGCTTGTTTCTGCCTTCCTCTGAAAAATCTGTCCCTTATCTGAATGCGTTGGCAGGAGCTGGCTGGGAAATGCTGCATTCCCACTAGGAATTCACTTTGTCCCTCAAAAAAGTTATGCTTGAAAACTTAGTTTACTTTTGGTTTGCTTCTTGCAAACCCATTGTAAAGCTCTGGCTGAAGGACTTTAATTGCTGGAAGGACTGGAAAGGGAAGGGGGCCTGGTGAAAGGAAGAAACAATACCACTTAGAAGGTAGGGTTTGTGTTTAAAAGCCTTTTTTTCATTGGAAAGGGGCAGGGAGGAAGATGAGATGCCTGGTTTTGGTTACTGAGCTCAAGCGGATGTGAGAGCGGAGCTGTGGCTTTGAAATCAGTCTGCTTGGGTGGGTGAGGGCATGAGATCTGCCGCTCTCCCCTCCAAAAATGCTGCCTGGGGCTTTGGTCCTGGGGAGGTGAGAGGAGGGAGTTTCCCAACAGGATAGGAGAGCAGCCCCAGGGCAGGGACCAGGGGAGTGGAGGCTGTGATGGAGTGATGAAACCGCTGGGATGGGGTGGTGAAACCTCTCTCAGGGCTTTGCAGCCAGGAGCGCTTCCCCCTCCGTCAAGTTTTTTCTTGCTTTCTGCTTCTCCTGCTTCCGCGGGCCGTTCCCCCCAGGACTGGGAAAAACACCTGGGAAAAAGTGATCCGAGCTGGAAAACGCTGTTGGATCGTGCTCGCGTGGGCTGAGGCTTTGGGGTCACTGCGTGTCTGGAGGAGATGCCTCTGCTTGCCCATCAGACAGGATGTTGCTGTGAAGAAAAGATGGTTGTGCCCCTTCTTATCTCCCACAAGGCGTGGCTGGAATTTGCGGTGTTGATAAGGGACCTCGCTCCTCTCTCCAGAGGGGAACGGCTGCCGCGGCTGCGCTCGCTCCTTCCCCTCTGCTGATCCTGGGCTGGTGACTTGATGCTGCACTGGGAGCTGTCATGGGTTGGGTTTTTTGGTGTTTTTTTTTTTACTCCAGATCAGCAAAGGTTTCCAAAAAAGGAAATATTTCCAGTGCTGCGCTCACGGACAGACGTGACAAGCAGCGAGGGAGCCGTCCTGCTGCCAGCAACCGGCCCCCGGAGAGCCGAGCTGTGCAAGCTCTGCTCAGCAGCTTTGCCTCCAACATCTGGACCACATTGTCTTAATTTAGCAAATGAGGGCTTTTTTTCTGTGGGTTTGTTTAATTTCCCTGGGGTGGGGGAGGTCTCTGATACTACCCCCCCCATTTTTTTTAAAGGGACAGTGCCCTTATTTGTACTTCTTCCACTGCAGCCCTTTTCCACCCACACTGCCTTCCCGCAGGAGCCAGCGTTATCAGTTACTCCTGCTCCATCCTGGCTTTGGACAGAAGAAGGGTTTCATTGTGGTTTCTTGTCACGCTGACCCCACCAAGCACTGATACAGAGGAGAATCAAGTTTTATTTATTTTTCGGAAACCTTGACCACTCTTACCAACAAATAGATGATACCATCTACTCACTTTTCCTTTCTGGAAAAAATCAGCCAAGCCTTAACACTGAGATGTGGCTCTAAAATCACTTTGGAGATTATAGAATTGTTTAGGTTGGAAAAGGCCTTTAACATAGAGTCCAACAGTTAATCCAGCACTGCCAAGGCTGAGTTACAGCCTTGTAACAGGACAGGTTTTCCACGGTGTCACCCACCCTAAATGTCACCCGCTCTGGTCCCTTGGAGGAAAGGTGGAGGGAAGGCTGGACCAGAGCTGGAAAGTTTTAGCTTTAGAAGCATCTGTGCTTTGGGTCCTCCCAGGAGCTCTCCTGTAGTGAAGTTGATGTTGTGTGTGGTTGCCTGTGAGACGAAAACAGAGATGCCCTGGGGATGTGTGACCTCCTGCAGCCTCCCCACCCTGCAGCGAGGGAGCTGAGGGATGGAGCTGGCTCTGCCTCACCCTGCCCTCACTTACAGAGTTTGGAGGCAGCAATCAGGGGATAAAACCATCAGGTTTCCCCTCCTGGAGGGACCTTGAGCAGATGCTGAGCTGAAACCTCCTTCACTGCAGAGGGACAGAGGTGCCTGAAGGGGAGATGGAGCTGAAAGGGCCTCGTAGCCAAATGTCCCGCTGATGGCACAGTAACTTTTTCCTTTGCCTTTTGCCGTAGTTTTGTTGCTTGGGAGGTTCTTGTGCAGTCTGATGTTTGGTGCTCCAGGCAAAGGGGAAGGACACAGCCCTGGGGTTAAATAGCTCCTCTGTGGGAATCTGGAGGTAGGAATGATGCTGCTAATCCCATAAGACGTTACACAGCCTTGGGGGTCCTGGGAGCTCCCCGGGATCTCCAGGTATCACCCACACCCCAGCTCCACCATTAAAAGTCCATCTACCTAGCCTGTTTCTCACCCACGTATCTTCCTGGTGATTTCCCCACCTGGGACAGGAATGTAGGTGATGATTGATGGGATCTGGAGTTCACCTCCTCCAGAAAGCAGGGAGCCCTGAGGGGCAAGCCTGGGGGGTGAGTGGGAAGCTAATTTAGAGGGATGACTCTTCACTGACGGCACCATGTCCACACGGTGAGGGTGGGAGCGGGAGGCCGCGGGGGAGGAACACGCCTGCTGATGTATTTTCTGGCTAACTCTTGGCCACTGCTTCCAGAGGGCTGTAGGCCAACCAGAGCCTCCTGACACCGTTTGCATTTTTCCACTTGTTTGCTTAAAACACGTAAAATCATTGCTGGGTTCAGCCAGCCTGAACCTGGGGAAGCCAATGCCCTGGATGTGGAACGTTTCCAGTGCTGGGAGGCTGCAGGGTTGGGATCCAGCGTCCCAGGAGCAGGGAGGGAGCTGAACCAGGTGCACCAGGACTTGTGACACCCCTCTTTGCTGCAGGGAAAGGCTGTGCAGGTCGTCTGCTGGAGGACTTAAAATGTAGAAAGATTTGGGCTCTGTGAGGGAGATGGAGCAATCCCCTGGCCGGGAGGCTGGCTGCTGCCTGGCCGGGAACTTGCGGCAGCAGATTCTGGCAGCGTTGGGCTTGGAGAGAAATTCTTCCTATATTTGTCTTTATGAGAAACGGAAGTGATGGGATCCCTTCTGAATGTGTCGTGATAAGGGTGAGGAGCCGGGAGCTTTCTAGGAAAGGAGGGACAGGGCTGGAGCCTCACTGTGACTCCACACTTTGTGCTTCCTGCCGCTGACGGGCACTTGATGGCTTCTCCTGCAGCCTCATTACCTTTTTTGCTCTTTCACTCCTTTTTTGGTTCTCCTTTCCCCTGGTCAGCTCCATCCGGCAGGAAGCTGGGGAGCCGGAGATAAGCCTGAACCATTCTCGGACAGGAACCCAACACCCTTCATGCGACGGGCTCACCCACAGCAGGGCTGCTCCTTGCTCACAGTGAGGTTTCTAAGGGCACATGTCAAGAAAACGGGGGGAAAAAGTGCCTCACCCCCAGCCTGCCATGTTTACATCCCACCTCACCCTCTTCCAGCCATTCCGTGCAGACAGGCTTTCCTTTGAGCTTTGCCAAAAATCAGACCTGAGGCTCCAGCTGTAAGGAGTCAGGAGGGGTTTGGCAGGGGGTTTATCCATCGCTCCTTCTCGGGAACTGCTGCTGAGCTCCCCCTCAGAGCACAGCAAACCAAACCCTGCTCGGAGCCCCAGCAGGACTTGCTGATCCTACCTCCGAGGTGTGCCCCAAAAAGCCTCTTATCACCCTCTTGCATTAGATGCAATAAAGCAGGGACCCTCTCTCCTCTTCCCGGCGTAACCCTGGGGGGAGCTGGCTCCTGACCGTGTTCCTCTCCTGCAGGTCTTGGCGCAGTCATCCCCTCGCTGTGACCTTCGTGCCAACCTCCTGCAAAACGGCTGCGGGGAGGACGACATCGAGTTCCCCACCAGCAGCGTGAGAGTCCTGGAGGAGCGACCCCTCAGCAGCAAGGGCTCAGGGAACTCCCCCACCACCCAGATGAGCCCCCAGAAAATACGGCTGAACCTGCGGCCGGGTAAGAGCCCCCCCAAACTGCTGCAGGAAGCGGAGGTGCAGCGGGAACACCCCAACGGGCTCAGGCGACGAGGGAGCCATCGCTTTGTCTCACTTACCAAGGCTGTCTCATGTCCATCAGGGGCAAAACTGGGCTGAGGGTTGCACCGAACCCACCACGAACATCCCTGAAAGGCAGCGAGGCTGCCCGTATGCTTTTCTCAGTTCTGTGGTATCTCGGGTTTATTATATAAAGCCATTTAGACCTTAGCCACTGCTGCTGCACTCTGAAGGCTTTGGTGGAAGTCAGCTTGTGTCTAACAAGCCGTAGAGCAGCTGGCAGGGCTGGACTGCCAAAAGGTCCCTGTAATTTTCACGGCTCTGGCACGTCTGGACTGCCAACAGGTCCCTGTAATTTTCCAGGCTCTTTTCAGCCAGGCGGGCTGGAGCCAATTAACTGTTATGGTCGGCTGCCAGTATCAAGGAGTTTCGAGCGATGTCAGGCAGGAGGCAAAACTAACAGGCATTGCTCACCCCAGGTCACAAAACTTGTTTTGCGGAACGTGGAGCGAGCGGTGCCGTCACCGTGCACTGCCCCACACGTAGCCCACCCGTGGCCATCCACTCATGGATGCCTCTCCCAGTCGCAGCAGGAAAAAGTCGGGTTCCCTGTGCTCATTAAAGGTCTGGGGGCAGATATCGGTGCACGACAGCACCGCTGTGCACATCCCTGGGCCTGGCCAAGATGAGTTCTCACCCATCTGAGTGACAGAATTCAAAGTGTCCCCATGCAATGGGGATGTGTAACTGCTAAGTGGTCCGTGCTTCATTTAGGGCTAAAGGCATTTGGCAGCTGATGTGCTGCTCTGGAGAAGAACAGGAGCAGTGTGCAATGCCCCAAGTCTCTGTTCCTTGGAAACAGTAGAAGAAAACCCTGGCTTGATATCACCCAACCAAGACAACCTGGCACGAGTCATCTGCCTTGACTAATGAATCGAGACCAAACATTAAGGATATAAGCAGGGCAGGTCACAGCCCATGTCCCGCAGGCTCTGTGTCCTCCTGGGGTTAGCTCAACACGGAGGAATAGGTGGTCTCTGAGCACAAAGTTGGGCCCCCCGACTACGTAGTGCTCCAGCAGTACAGCTGGAGGGGGGGATGGAGCATTTTGGAGTCTCATAGATTTTGAACCTTTCTCCATCCTGAAAGTCGGAATGTGACATGCAGATTTAGAAGGAAATATGAAAACAATAGCAGCTTAACCCCAATTAAAGCTTTTATCCTTGACATTTGAGGTGTCCTGACAAGGCTGCAGCTGTGCCCCAGCTTACACTTCAAAGAAGTCGCTTCAGAGAACAGCAAGAAAGAACTTTTGTCTCTTTTAAAAGACAAAAAGTAAAGGTCTACCCAAAGCATTTTCATTTTCATTTTGTTTATTTTTTTTAAAGTGCAAGAGTCATCAGAACTGGTCTGTTCCCCAGAAGATTCTGTCTAGGGAGGTTTTGGTTTCAATGGAAAATGTTTCACCAAAAATTTCCCAGGAGCTGCTGGGAGGAGCCAAGAGGAGAGGGAAGTACCAGGGATGGGGGAGGCCCTGAGAGATGCTCTGAGTCCTTGGGAGCTCAGAGAAGTCCAAAGCAGCTGGGCAGCCCCTGGTAGTCCCTGTAAGACCTGCTGCCCACGTGCTGAGTGTTTCCCTCATGCAGCGTGTGTTGGTCATGCTGTTCATGCAGAGCAACTTGGGGGATAAGCTCTGAGCAGGAGGATCTGCTCACGTCCTGGTAACGAAAGGTCTGGAGAAGAGGAGCCAAGAGCTACACTGGCCATGTCCGAGGGGTGCAGAGGATATCTCCCATGCAAGCACCCTGCCCTGAGGGCTTTGCCCCTTCCTGTCTGTGGAACTGTGATGTTCTCCTCTCAGCAGCTTTAAACAATCTCCTTGGGTTCCTGCTCACCCCTAGGCTGACTTTCTCCCCAGTCCTGTGGTGGCCTCCCTTTGTTCCTCCCAGGAGAGGATCTCTCACTCCACTGCCCTTTCACATTACAGATGACTCCCAGATCTTTCGCGTCCAAGTGCGTCAAGTGGAAGACTACCCTGTGGACATCTACTACCTGATGGACCTGTCCAACTCCATGAAGGATGATCTGCAAAACATCCAGAACCTGGGCACAAAGCTGGCCAGCGAGATGCGCAAGCTCACCAGCAACCTACGCATCGGCTTTGGGGCCTTTGTGGACAAGCCCATTTCCCCCTACATGTATATCTCTCCTCCACAAGCCATCAAGAACCCTTGCTATGAGTAAGTCCCAGGCTTGGGGGTCCTGTAAGGGACAGAAGTTAACGGGATGTCACTGGAATGTGGCTGGAAACCCATACCAATGGATTTCAGGAGGGAGTTGGGTGCTTAATTTGGGGCAAAGTTTAAACCTTACTGCACTCTGTGTTCTGCTGGTACAGGGAGGAGGAGCAGGTCTAGACTAAAAGTATGATCATGACTCACTTAAGGGAACAAATATTTTACACCATTTTTTCAGGAGAGATGTTAAAGTTCAAATTAAGTCACTCCTAAAAATCTCAGCAGGACAGAGGCTGGGCGCTGAGCTGAACCCAGCATCTCTAGAATAGGTGATTGATTTTTACAAGGTCCTTCACCAGCCTCCAGCTGTGTTCTTGGGCTCTTGGAGTGGTTGAGTCCCTCCAACATATCCTGGGCAGGACCTTTGGACGTGGGATGGCTGCAGGGCAGCGGTGGGAGTTGGAAGAGTCCCGTGACCCTCGTGCCCTGACTGCTCTCCTCACACAGGATTGCAGAAACCTGCCTGCCCATGTTTGGTTACAAACATGTCCTGTCTCTCACGGACGAGGTGACTCGCTTCAACGAGGAGGTGCAGAAGCAGAACGTCTCACGGAACCGTGATGCGCCCGAGGGCGGCTTCGATGCCATCATCCAGGCCACTGTGTGTGATGTAAGGAGCAAGAAAACCTGGCTGAGGCTGGGAGAGAGTCATCAGGCTGAGCCTGGTGGGTTAGCAGAGACCACCCAAACCCCACATGGACAGGACTGTAAGACCGTGGAGCTGCTGTGGGGCTCCGTTCTGGGGAGGGCAAACATTCAGCTAAGGCATTTCTAGACCAATAGCCAGGGCAAAGGAAGAGCAGGAGCCTTCCATGGTCCTGGGAGGAGAAAGGAGCAGAGCAGGTGCTCAGGAGCTGCTGCTGATCCCATGTCAGCCCTGCAAGAACCAGCCCAGAAGGGACATTTTTCTGTGAATGTCCCTTGGTTTTGTTGGAAATGGAAGGGATTGCATCCCTCTGGTCATTAGCCACCTTGATTAACACTCCAGCAAATTAAAACCTATCTTTCACCTGTACAAGCAGTCCATGTCCACCAGCCAGGTTCCACAGCCCACCCCACCCTGCAGCACTTCCCTGGGAGAGTGACTGCCCTCAGGTACCCCTGCAGTGGCAGGTTGGTCCCTAGAGCCAAGCCATGTCCTGGGGTGGCAGCAAAGGCAGCAGCAGGGTCCTGGCACGTGCTGCCACGTGACTGGGAGCTGCCTTTCTCTGCAGAAGAAAATCGGATGGAGGAACGACGCTTCCCACCTACTTGTCTTCACAACGGATGCCAAGACCCACATCGCGCTGGACGGCAGGCTGGCTGGCATCGTGCAGCCCAATGATGCCCAGTGCCACATTGACGAGGATAATTTCTACTCTGCCTCCACCACGCTGGTAAATCCCAACTCACGTGTAGGGTTTTGGAGCCTAGAGCTCCTGTTAAGGGTCCGTATTGGATGGGAAAGGTGGTCCAGCCCTGGTTGAAGAGCACATTGGGATCCAGCATGGTTAAGGGCACGTTTTTCTAGGACTCCTCTCTTCTTCCACAGGACTATCCCTCTCTGGGCCTGATGACTGAGAAACTCTCACAGAAGAATATCAACTTGATCTTTGCAGTGACGGATACGGTTGTTGGCCTCTACCAGGTAAAAGCAGCCACCTCAGGGAGCTGGTGGGTCCTAAGGAACACCCTTTGCAGCTGTATGTGAGGGGCTCACACATATCAAAGCTCCTTGGGAAACTCCTGTGTGCCCAGACAGGGTGTGGCCCAGCCATGACACGTTCACACCTCACGAGCAGACCATGCTTATGATATTTCTCCAGAACTACAGTGAGCTGATCCCAGGCACAACTGTGGGCACCTTGTCCAGAGACTCCAGCAATGTCCTGCAGCTCATAGTGGACGCTTATGGGGTGAGTGCACAGTGTGATGGTCCCACAGCAGCTCGCTCCCTCCCAAAAGAGCCACTGCTTCACAGATTTGGCAGCCTCTCCAGCCCTGAGCATCCTCCCTGGACCAGCTGTGAGCATCTGCCTCCACCCATACATGCTGGGACCTCGGGGAAGGGAGATCACTGTGTCGCCCAGCCCCTTCCTATCAAAGTCATTTCCAAGTCCTGAGAGACTCAGGGCTTCATTCCCTTGTGCACGGGAGGATCTCTGAGTGGGTGCCCCCGCACCAGTACTGAGCCCTGCCCAGCCTGTGCAGTTGTCTTCATCGCTCCTCTCTCCTCCTCCAGAAAATCCGCTCCAAGGTGGAGCTGGAGGTGCGTGACCTCCCTGAAGAGCTGTCCCTGTCCTTCAATGCCACCTGTCTCAACGATGAGGTCATCCCCGGGCTCAAGTCTTGCATGGGGCTCAAGATTGGGGACACGGTGAGGATCCTCTTCGTGGGCTTGGGTTTTCTCCTCCTCTATGTTAGCAGCGCTGCCACCTCACCTGATGCTCTCCACCACTCTCATCTGCTTGTGTTACCACCACCTGGGTGACACAAACCCTGTAATCTTTGCAGTGGAAAGAGGAGTCCACCTGGGTGGGTGCAAGGAAGAAAAAACTTTTTTGAGTCTGTGGGATGCAGAATCTGTGATTCTCTAGCTCAGCCCAGGCTGCTGGCCACAGTATATGGGATTTAGCCTAGTTACTGTGGTAGGCAGGTGCCCTGGCCCAACCTGTGCTGGGTCAGCTCTGAAAAGCCTGAAGAGGGCTGGCAGGTCCCATTTCTGGGCTCCCTAAGCTTGGACATGGCCCAAAGCAGGTACCCCAGTACCATGCTGGTGGTATTGACACCCAGATGCACTCCTCTGCCTTCCAGGTGAGCTTTAGCATCGAGGCCAAGGTACGGGGGTGCCCACAGGAGCGCCAGAAATCCTTCACCATCAAACCTGTGGGCTTCGAGGACAGCTTGACGGTGGTGGTGGACTTCAACTGCAACTGCTCCTGCGAGAGCCAAGCCGAGGCCAACAGCTCGTCCTGCAGCCGTGGCAATGGCACGCTGGAGTGCGGCGTGTGCCGCTGCAACCCCGGGCGCCTGGGCTCACACTGCGAGTGCTCGGAGCAGGAGTACAACCCCTCGCAGCAGGACAACTGCAGCCCCCGGCCGGGACAGCCCCTCTGCAGCCAGCGCGGCGAGTGCATCTGCGGGCAGTGCGTGTGCCACAGCAGCGACTTCGGGAAGGTGACGGGCAAGTACTGTGAGTGCGACGACTTCTCCTGCGTCCGCTTCAAGGGCCAGATGTGCTCGGGTGAGTGCTGGGCTCAGGGAGGGGACGCAGCTCAGGGCGTTCATGTTGCTCAAACTCATGGATGAGGGAGACACCAGTTATATTGGGGCTTGTCCCAGGTGTTGTCCCCACCTCTGGCTTGCTCAGCTCTTTCTCTCCCTGGGTCTGAAGTGATGCCAGGTGAATTATTCCGTTTTCTGCAGCAGGTATCGCTTCTAGTGCCTGAGAGCTGTGGCAGGGTGATGGGCTAGAGGGTTAAAAAGCAGACCGTGGTCACTGCTTAGACTCAAGAGCCCTAACAGAGCACTCGAGGAAGCAGCTCTGGGGTGCTCAGGGCAGGGACACTGCCTGAATCGCAGCCAACCCATGAGATATATTGCCTTGGAGGAGGAAACCCCAGGGTGAAGGGAGAGGGGTAGGGAGAGGCTATTTCTATCCTCAGTCCAGTTCTTGAAGACTTCTCGTTGATGAAAATATTGGGGAAGCAAATCCTTCCCCCTCGCTGGCCTTTACAGCCTTTCCCCTCCTGAATACTCATCTTTTCCATGTGTTACCAGATTTCCCTGCTTCTGCTCTCAGTAGAGGGGAAACAGGACCAGGTCCTTGGGTACTGCTCTCGCGGCAGGGACCAGGGAAGGAGCCTCTCTTTGCAAAACACCTGTCCCAACAGCGGTTTCATGTGTGAACGCCGGTGCTCTGCCCCATTCCCTGTTGTTTCAGGCAAAGCAAGAGGGGTGGCAGTGCCTGAGACTGGGCCATGAAGTTGTGGCATGTCCCCTCCAGGAGCAGAGCACTCCAAAACTGATTAAAGGGGGGAATAAGAGAGGAATAGCAACTCCCTTTCCTATTCCCAGCCTCCCTCTGTGAGCCCAGGTGAGGCAGCTGCTAATGCAGTGCCAAAAATCCACCACTTTTCTGCTGAGAACCCAAAAATCCCTGGGAAAATGTCAGTGGCCAAAGCTGATGCCGCTCTGCTGGAATCCAGCCTGGGTGAGACAAAACCTGGCCAGATGACACTCTGTTCCTGCTCCCCAGTGTCCCCAACTGGAGTTTTTGGGACCCCACCTGCCCCTCAGCCCAACTCCATGATTGCCTCTGAGCTGCTGGGATTGATCCTTTATCGTAACAACTTGCTGATAATGGTGGAAATGCTGGGATTTTCCCCCACCCTCAGCGGTCGGTGACCTCAGGGAGCCGGGTGCCTGTCCTTGCTCCCGCTGCCTGTTTGCACAAGGGCTGCCAGGACGGAGGAAGGGCGATGATGACAAAGAGCTGCCCGCAGCCTGGGTGAGCTGTTAATTAACCCAATCTGTCTGACCTCGTTGGCATCGATCTCGACTCATTGAGCCGCTTCTCCTCAGCCTCCCCCGACCGTTTCTGTGCCTTGTCACCCAGTGCAGCACAGATTTCCTGTGACTCAGCCCTAGTTCCTTAATAGAGTTACACATTTATTTCTCATGCTGGTGCCTCCGAGGCCATGGCAGGGACGGTGCCCAGCCGATCCCACACTGGAAGCAGTGTTTGGGGCTTGGGACAGGTCGGCGCGTGCCGGCTCCATGGTGTTTCCAGCGCTCACCACGTCTTGTGTTTGAGCCAAGATCAAACCACAATCCAAATAGCTCCAGGCTTTGGCAAGGTTTGAGCACGTCTGTCTGTCTGTCTGATTAAACCAGTCTCGGCAAGCATGCAGAGCTTGTTGGGCTTTTCCCAGCAGTCGGCTCCCCCTACCTGGTTCGAGGCTGGGATTTGAAGATTTTAGCTGGATGTCTTGACTCAAGCTGAAATTAAAAGCCAAAGCTTGACTAGCTCAGAGACAGATCTGACTGAGCATTTCCAGCTGCTGCTGCCAACCTGCCAGAGCTGGGGCAGATCAGCCTGAAATTTGGCGCTTTTTTTCCTTGTTTGGGTGGAATAAGAAGAGTGTTGGGGATTTGGCGAAGAATGAGATATAGTGCGAGCTGTTGTGCGTCCCACCTCAAGGCCAAGGGAGAAAGGGGTTGTCCTGGGCAGCTGGTCTGCCTTGCCGTGTCCACAGAGGTGGAGCTGCTGCTCTGGGCAGATGGCCGTCTCGTATGGGTGATGGCTAATGGGATCTATGGGGACGCTTGGGGGTCCTGACGCTCTCTGGGTTGTCCCCAGGCCATGGGAAGTGCAGCTGCGGGGACTGTCTGTGCGACTCGGACTGGACCGGTGACTACTGCAACTGCACCACCCGCACCGACACGTGCATGTCCAGCAACGGGCTGGCGTGCAGCGGCC